GGGGGGGGGGGGGGGGGGGGGTGTTCCGTAGTTTAAAAAGGCAGATGCATTCATGCAACTGAAAGCTTGTTTATCTCCATGTGCCTGGACAAGGGTTTCTCAGTGGCCTTCCAGCAAATGCAGGTTGACCCAAAGGAGAATGTTAGAGCATTCTGAGACTCTGCTGTTGATTCGATCACTTGTTGAGACTCCGACTGGAACGTTGTCCCCGTGTCTGTTCTTCATTGTGGTCTGGAATGGTTTCTACGGTCTGGCGGCCCCTGAATTAGTTCCCTTCAGACACATCAGGATGGCGTCTCCTTGGGCTAACAAATCTGGGTGCTCTTACCGCACCTGGAGGCCACCAGGTTGGCGGTTCCAACCCAACCCTGCCTGTAGGTCACGGTGCATTCAAGGAAGTTCCCAGAACATGATGCGGAATTTGGAAGTTGCAGGATTTGGTACTGTAAGGCGATTTTGCGAGTTGATGCTTTCCTAGCTGACCCAACCCCATATGGGCTGTTAGCTGCCCTTTGTTCAAAAGCCAACGATATCCAAGGGAATGGATTAAAAATTCAGCTGGCTCTTGTCTTTTTGACCTTTCTGTAGGAGAGGTGTGAAAGTAGCCTGCCCAGTTCCAAGCCAGATAAGCTTGCTTGGAAAGTGGAAGTTCAGCAGAAGTTAATTAAACTGCTTGGAATTAAATTGAACTGAACTGGTGGGCGTTGTGGCTGAGGTGGTGAACTGTGGCCAGGGAAACCCAAGCCAAGGCTGCCCTCAGCCACGGAAGATCACTGGGTGACTTGCCTACCTACCTCACAAGGTTGTTGTTACGGGGGAAAATTGGGAGGGAGGAAGCACGGGTTATACGGCCTTGTGCTCCTGAAGAAAAAGTGGGATAGAAATCAATCAAAGAAATAGGTAAATAGAATCAGTTCTTGGAGCATTGAGGTTTGCCCATGAGGAAGCTTGCGTGCACAGAGTTCGCAGTGATGCAGAGGCATTTCTGGTCCCATCTGGGTGTGGGGAGGAGGCGGGGGGCAGGCTTCAGTTCTGTCATTTTGCCTCCATTTGATGCCTCCCATGTGCTCAGGAGAGCGCGGGAGAAACCTTTAGCAAATTAATCAGCACGTGAGCAATTTAATAGGCAAAGGCTAAGCTCCTTTGTGGGATGCTGAGGAATGCATGCCCCATCATACATACGTATGTACCTACGTGCATACACACACACGCACTCATATATATAAAAATGTGTGTCTGTATTGTTTGCCCGTAGAAGCCATACCCACCCTGGACACCCTCAATCTTGTTTTCTTTCATTCAAAGGGTGACAGCTGGGATTCCGTCAAAATTCGCAGCTATTGTCGAGGCAGGGAGATGAATGCGTTGTGACTAATCTCGGGAGGGTTCCCAGAATGCCTGATTTGCTCTTACCCCGGCCCCCCATTTATTTATTTATTTATTTATCTCCCCTCCCCCCATCTCCTGGTCATTCTTCCTCTGTCTCAAAGACTCGCTTGTCTCCCCTGATTTACATGGGATGGACAGATGGAATTGAATGGGGCGCGGACAGATGTGGGCGTTCTCTGCCAAGGGAGGGGCTGCTGCCGCCGCCACCACCGCTGCCCCTTGGAGGGTCAGGCGGGGGGGACTTTCTTGCACAAACCAAGTTTCGTTCGTCACCTCGCCAATGTCGTTGGCATCAGCCGTCTCCAGTGGTGCCTTCCACGTGTGTTGGGGTTAGGGTGGTCCTGGCGGGGGGCTCTGAAACTTGGAGGCCTCCTCTTTGGGGCAGGCTCATCGCGCGCTTGATGGCGGGCCCTTGTGATCCTGGTCGCCCAAGGGCTGAGCTCCCCAGGAGAGTAAACACCAACCTGGCCTGTTTGCTAGGGGCTTAGTGTGTCGCGCAGAGCTTGTAAACCTGGCCCATATCTTCCTCTGAAGAAATGAGGTGGAACACAATGTGTGAACCAGGCTTAAAAGTAGCAGGGTGTTTGTGGTGGAAAAATTTCAGCTGGCTAAGTGCCGTATTTTTAAAAAATGAAGCCCGGTCCCATCGCTGTGCTATGCCATCCTCTTCGCTGTCTTCAGAATGCTGTTTTCCAGCTCAAAAAGCACGTGAAAAGCTCCTTATAAATAAGCTGTTTGTGCAGGAATTTCATCCGGGGGACGTGCTAGAGAATGGTCTGGTGTTGTGGTGAAAGGTTGAAGTGTGGAGAATGGGGTTCAAGTCTACCCTCAGCATGGAAACTCCTGGGTTGATTTGGCTCCAGTCTCTCTACCTCTCTCTCTCATTCAGCCCAACTTACCTTACAGGGTTGTTGTGGGGATAAAATGGGAGGCAGGGATGTGGTGCAGACTGTCCAGGCTCCTGGAGGAAAGGTGAGATATGAAGCTGATGGATAAATCAGTGCCAGATCAACAGGGACATTAGATAAAGGTTGGCACGTGTTTGTAGTAGATCATTTCCCCAAATACAGTTATGTCTATTGCTTGTTGCCTAAAAAGATGAAAAGAACTTCTGTCTTAATGCTAGTTTGCTCAGCAGTGGGGAAGAAATAGCTATTGGCAAGTCTGGATCTGACCCCCACCACGTGATGCTGAGTTGCCTTACATCATTCTTGCAAACATTTCTGGCCCTGCTCTGGCTTTCGAGCTAAAATAGCAAAGAGCCTGCATTTTATATTTGATATGATATAATTAAAATTAACATTGGGAGTGGGAAATATTGGTTCAGGCCCCCCCGTCACTGCTGGTGGCTTCAGCACTCTGCCAAGTGTGGTTTTGCGGTGACGAATGTAAACTGCGGCTTTGCAAAAGTTGGCCTCCCTCTGGAGAGCTCAATCTGCATTCCCAGCTCAGATGAAAAGGTTTCTCCAGGATCGCGTCGCTGTACAAGGAGAGATACTAATTAAAGCTTGGCAGGGCTGTGTTTGGGGGCTGCCCTCCCCTCAGCGCAGATGAAAAGGGGCTGATTTATTTAATTTTTCTAGGACTGCTGCAGACACGTCGGATGCCGCTTTCCCAGGAATGCCCTCGCTTGCGCAGTTAGAAGCAGATGGTGCTCTCGGGAACGGGATTAACGCTTTCTCATGCTTTACCTTTAGTACATCCACCAGGTCAGCACATACTCCGAAGCCCACATCACGAGCTTTGGTTTGCTGGCTGCAGCCTCGAAGCAAAGCCATCCGCAGCCTGCAGGTCCTTTGCACCGCTGGCTTTGGGGCAAAAGGGCCTGAACCGTGGAACCGGAATGATCGGCGTGCCTTGGCAGATGCAAAGTGGTTTAAAAATGAGGAAGATAAAAAGTGGTCATCCTTCTCTTGAGAAGAAGGGCCACAGAAAGTGATGGGCTCCTCGTCTTGTTGCATGTGGTCCACTTCTGCTCTTAGCGTCTGATCCTGGACTTTGGGTCAAGGGACTCCACCAGATTTGGCCTGACAGGCCATCCCGAGATGAGGTTCACATCCTGCTTCCCTGCAAAGTGGTTCTGTCTGAGAAGCAGTTCTCTGCACTTTTCGACAGTCCCTGGACAGAGGAGGCTCTCTCAAAGGATGTCTCCTGGCCAAAAGCTCTCTTTCCCCTTCGCCCGTGCCCTTTTCTGTGGAGAGGCATCCAAGGAGGAGGGACGGCAGGAAAGGAGCTAGGGGTGAGAGTTTCTTGTCCTGGAATTCAGCAGTTCACAAGCGCGCGGAAAGCTTGTTCCCAAGCTTTCTGGGCCCCGAGTTTATTCAACTCCAGAATCCATTGTTAACTACTTTAAGGAGCGGAAGTCTTTCAGCTCAGAGGTTTTCCTCAGGCTTTAACCTGTCCTTACTTCCATGGAAATAATAGTAATAATAATAAAATGGGGAGAGGGGAAGAGGAATACGGACTCGCCATGGGCAGGAAATGGGTGCGGCGTGGAAATAGCCCGAGGAAGTCTGCAATCTAAGGAACAAGAATAGTTTTGTTGGGATCCTGCCATGTTGAGTTCTTCCTAGCAGCTCTAGTTGAGGAAGGATGAATAATTTTTTAATTTAGGCGTGACGGGGAGGGAATCGTATCATTTTTTTCCTTTTAACATTCAAGGTTTGAGCCTTGTGAGGATGGCCGGATGGTGGCTAGTTTCTGAATTCTGCTCTCTGCAGAGTCTGTTCAGTCGT